CTATACAAACTTATACTATATATGACTATTTTTAGGAGGTGGAAAGTCCTACCACCAGTTTAAATTCATCTAAACCTGTTAGTTCATCTAGATTATTGTAAGCATATACTTTTCAGAGTTGATTAGAACAATCAAATAATCTATTCAATACTTTTTACTTAAGACCTTGGAGAAAATACTATATTTGTTGTCATCACTTGCAGCTTTTGTTTGTATAACAAATTGCTTAATCTATAAAGAAGCTATTTATATATAAAGATAAAATAAATTATATAAATAAGAAACAAGATTATTTTATATAAAAAAATATAAAAGTGTAATAATTTGGAAAATATAATATTTGATGTAAAATTATTATATATGTTAATTTAAAGTCAAGATTAATTACTTTTCAAAAGTTGTATATAATTAGATATGTTTTGAGATAAAAAGTATAATTAGATATGTTTTAAAATAAAAAGTATTAAAGTAATAGAAGATGAGTTAAAGTATAAAAGCAATTATTAAATAACAATTAAAAATTTCAGTCAAATTATCAAAGCATACTTAAATAAAAATATAATAATCCTATAATCAAATAAATATTGGACTGATTTTTTTTCAACAATTTCAACTATACTTTTTTGTCAAGTTTCTTTTCTAAACTCTAGCTATAAAATCTTCAAGCCAATACTAATAATATAATAAAACAAAAATTTAAAATAGAAAAAACAATTTTAAATAAAATCATATACAGTAGTTGCAAGTTGAGTTTAATTTTATTAATATTATAGACAAATAAGATTTTATATATTAAAATTTCTTATTATTAAACTCAACAATACAAAATCTATTAAGTTATAAAATTAAAGATCAACTTTCTTCAAGCCAGCTATACTATTTGCTTCTATTTAATATGTTATTTTAAAAAGTTTTTTGATATATGAATTACTTTGACAGTAGCTTTTTACAAAAAACATTAAATTAATATTTATTTAACAAATTGTTTATTTAATTATTTCAAGGGTAATTAATTTTTAGAACTTTATTTTTTTTTAAAAACAATAATTTATAGCATCAAGTAAATTATCATTGGATTTTGGATACTATGTATTTAGCTATAAATATTTGGTTCTATTTCTGAAATTATTTGAAATAATTGATTGACCAGTGAACTTATCTAACCTAAATTTGATAGAGAATATTTGAAAGCTATTAAAAAACAATGTGCAATAATATAAAAACTTTTCAAGAACAGTAAGCAACCTAAAAATTATCTTAATAGAAGAGTAAGAAAAATTTGATATCTCTTGACTTATATAGAGAAAACATAAAGTTTTTAAATAATCCACTAGTGTTTTAATTATATAGATGATTAATATAATATAAATTCAATATATATTTCTATTCAATATCAAAAAGCTATTTTTATCTGATTCATCAATATTGATATCTTGTTCAATTTCAAGAAAACTATATTGTATATTTCAAATATGGTTTTAAAAATTGGAATCAAATATATTTATATAAACTTGCATAAGGTAAAACATTATTAAAAATGATGATAGATTATAAATCATATACTAAATTTAATATAAATATAAGAATTAAAAATTTAATTAAATTAAATTGTTAGAATTCTTAATTTCAAATATAAAAATCAGATTTTGAACTTATATATTCAATAATTAAATAAACTTTATCAAAAAAAAAATTAACTGTGGCAATATATAACTGTTAATTAAAGGAGGTTATTATAGGTTAAGTATAAACAATTCTATTATTTTTATATTAACAAGTTTCAAATTATTATGCTAATTATGAAAGCAATATTTCTCTAGTTATATAAAGTAAATAATAAAAATTGCCTAAATAATACTTTTGAGAAAATTTGAATATAATTATAAAGTAAAAATTTTTCAAATACAATTTATTTATAGAAATTAGTTTTTTAGAATACAAAAAATTATTAATATAATTAAATTTTAATATAGTAAAAAATATTAAATAAGTTATTGCTTTTTTTATATTTTATTTTAATAACAAAATAAGAACTAATACAATATAAGATAATAATATCAACATGACTTTTTACTTTAAAAATTTTTAGTTAATCAATATACTTTTAGAGATAATTAAAATTTTAATATCTACTAACAATTAGTTTTATAAATTAATTTCAACATTTTAAGCTATTTTAATCAAAAGGTTAAAATTCCATATAACTTTCTAATTGAAAATATCAATATACTCTACAAGCTTAAAAATATTAAACTAAGATTGAAAAAGCATATAACTACCTTAAACTTTAGAATAATAATGCAATTATAGAACTCAATAATATTCTAAAGCAAAACAATTATATTATAGATTTAAAAATCAAAACAAGTAAAATTATAGTTCTATAATCTGAATTAAGAAAATTCAATATATTTTAAGATTTATTAACATTATATATAGCTTATTAATAAAAAATAAATAAAGCATTAATCTAAAAGTATCTATGCTCCAATTTCTTATCAGGGCAAACAAACTTTTCATCAAAAAAATAAATAAACTATTGATATTCCAAGCAAAACTATTGAGTAAAACTTTAATTATAAGATAGTTTCTGTACAATAGATATCTAAACACATATAAAAACAATCTTTGCCTTAAAATTTTTACAATAATAGAAACTTAAAACCATACTTTTGAATGTTACAAAAATATTATGGCATATAAAAAATCAAAATCAAGTTAAAGTCCAAAATAGTCAAACTTATAAATAAAAAAGCATTAAAAATTATTAAATATAGCAAGCAATATATAAAATTAAATCTTGAAAGAAAATCTTGCTTGGACAAACTAGTATATATAATAATAAATATAAATATAAATATATATTTTATTGGTTAAGTCAAATTAACAAACAAAACTTTGTTATTTCTATATTTGCTAATATTAATATTAATATCAGCAATAGCCAATATATTAATAGTATCAGAGATTATGTGAAACAATTATTCCATATATCAAAAAGTATAAACACTAACAAAATCTTTACACATCAACATCTGTTATATGATACAAGTCTGTTAAATCTAATTATAGAAGCAATAGACTTACAATTCAATTCTAATAGCAATTTACTCAAGTTACAAGTCCTTATATTAGCTCTGGAAGGATGTTAACCATTCAGTACTAGAATCAATCCAAATTACATTAAGTGTATTTAGGATAGTAATAGTTAATATAGTAGATAAGTTACTATTAATTTATAAAATTTTAGTTTGTAAAGATGTTTAATGTAACTTGAATATAGTATATATAAAGAAAACATTGTTGGTAATATTGCAGGCTAGTTTAATTACTTGCTATGAATAAGTTGATATATTTTTTTCTTTTATATTTTTGAAATTAATCTTTACGCATTTTTGATTAGATTAAAAATAGAATTATTAAATAATTAATTTGATACTGTAAGTATACTTTGTTTTTTTTAAAAAAACTCTTTCCTTTATTATTTGTCTATTTAAAGTATCGTTTTGTTAAAGTTGGTACCTGTTTTCTATAAAGTTTTGATCTTGGAAAGTTATTTTTTACCAATTTTTAATATATAAAATATCGATCTGTTAAAGTTGGTACCTGTTTTCTATAAAGTTTTAATCTTAGAAGTTATTCTTTACCAATTTTGAATATATAAAATGAGCATTCATTTTATCAAAAAATCATTAAATATTTGTTTTTTATAAATTATGTAAATAAATTTTATGCCTATTTTTAAAAATATTTTCTATTAATTTATAATGCTTACTTTATTATGTAATTATATTCTGGAACAGTTAAACCAATATTCTGTTCAAAGAAAGGTATTAAATCAATCATTTTAAAGGCATTTCTTTACCTATAAACTTTTTTTTTTTACTTTGGTATTAACAACATAGGCACTACAAGTGAAAGGAAGATTTTATAATTTAGGTTAATAAAATATTTTCTAACAATGTGTCTAGAAATTTTAATACAATACTCTGATAATTTTCTGAAAATCCAAATAGTAGAAACTATTGTATTTCGCTGGAGATGCTGACTAATAATCTTTGAAGTATTGTTATTAATATTTTTTGATCTTTCTGCACCCGATTTTTTGTCATAAATTATCTCCTGTAAATAATCCTTTGATATTTAACATATTGTAGAGTGACTAATATTGATTTCATTGAATTTTCAATGCGTCTTGTATACTTGTCTTATAATTGTAAAATTACCTCCCTCTGTTGTTTCTTGGATGATTGATGTCGAAATGCAACTTATCTTCTCTGTAATACGCAAAGTTTGTTTCCACAAATTGGGGTTCTATATATGCGAACGTGGCCTGCGGCATGTGGTTAAAATCGCGTGTAAGGTGTTCCTAAAAAATTATAATCATCACTGTATATATACAGATATACCATATGGAGTCTATCTATAAATGCCAAGGGTTTACGGAAAAAATTACGCCGATTTCGTTCAAATCGGAAATGCAACCCCAAAATAGTAGGGATTCGATTTCCTAACGTTCATCCACCAATCTGCTGAAACATTTGTTCACGGTTCACATTAGAGAATATTCCGGTTTTATCCGGATCTTTTTAACTGTCATTCATTTTCTATTTACGGCAAACTAATATGAAATGCAAGCCTTTTTATGATGTGATTATAATGCTGCTGATTCGGTCAAGAGTACCAACCTGTGATTAATCATTCAAACTTAACGTTTTAGTTAATATATGTTCTATATATGTGAGCCTTGGCCTCGCGCAAGGCAACTGCTTCGCAGCGCGCGCAATTTAACTTTCTGAGGGCTGAAACTTTAGGGTTCCCTGATTACTTTATTCTATTTGCTGATCGACTGTTTGTTTTCGCGGATCAGATTTTCAGAATTCTGTGTCACAATTCAAATTTCCGACAACCTTCTAGTATAAGAAATTGCATAAATAGAGCAAGCTTTTGGTGGAATTTGTGAAAGCTGTGAATTATAATTGATATTTATTCACTCAAAAATGTCTCGGTAATTTCTTACAAGACTCATAAATATTGTGTTTTGCATATAAATTATCTTCTTTAATCATCTCGTACCAAATAATCTAGATGTTTAAGAGGTCCATATTCGAAAGCATGTACCAACTGTCGTAAGGCGAAAAAAAGATGCTCTGGTTGTATTAACACGAAGTGTCAGCGATGCATTAAAAAGGGACTTTCGTGCATTCCTTACAAGAATAATTGCAAAAAAATTTGGAATAAGCATGGTATTAATTTAATAGAATCATTTGCCGCGTATAGTTACCAATTAATCTCATTAAAATTTATATATAGAAACCTGTTTAGAATTATCTTCTACCACGACGACTAATTTTCAATCCTCTTACGAAGATCAGCAAATAGAAAATTCGGAAATGCTGATGGCAACACAAAATCCAGAATACCATTCGGGCATCTTTGAAATTATGCATGGAAATAGGGAAAACAAACACATTACTGACTTAATTCGTTACAATCGTATGTCTAATAGTAAATCTAGTTAATTACAGAGCACGATTATATTTCTCATTTAATCATTTTCACTAATTTCAATCCTCACACAGATCAACCAGAGAAATTCTTACATTCACCTGTTAATGAAGAGAAAAATAATGCACCATATACTTTACACGAAGATCACGAAACCAACTATATGAGTTATTATGACATTTCCAACCATATGTATTATGGTATTAATGACTATATTGAAAGTGATTTCAATAACTATATGGAATCTGATATTGATAAATTGATGGGTTTATCATTAATACCTTGTGCTGGTAAGTGTACCAAAATTCATGTTAAATGATTGAGTACATTGAAAAGACGATTTGTATCATAGAAACCAACACTTTCTTATTTGGATTAATCGATAACTTCCAGATTTCAGTTGCTGTCAAAATTTAAATTCCGAATATGCAGATGACTCTATTATCCGCTTTAAAAATCAAGATCCCTATAATGGTATGTAGATAAAATGAGCTTATTTAAATATACAGTATATAACACGGATCCAAATCTAATATGTATTGCAGAATATCATTTGTCATTATCCTTCTAATTATAACTTATATCTCTTCTATCCCGGCTGCAGACTCCGTCTACGTACAAGAGTCAACCCAAGAAAACTCAACCGAATTTAAAATTTCTGAGATCGATGTCCAAAATAAATTTTCCCTAGATGAAAAAGACATTTACTTTTTAATCTAAATGTCGATAGTTGAATTGACAATTTTCGAAGTTTATATACTGTATGTTGTATAATAGGCAATAGATTAAATAGACTAAATTACTGTACTTTATTATAGAAATTTCTAAGACTTTTATAGAATCCTTTTAAGATATCAAATTATTTTCACGAAAGACATTTTATAGAATTTACTGTTATTATGACATTACTAAGAGTTGTATAATAAATACGATGTCAATATGAATGTAACTAATATTATTCAGTGTTAAAGACCATGAATTCTGGCTCATGTTACTGATTTGCGATACAAAATAAAAAATTTTAATGGCCTCGGTGCAACAAATAATTTGATGTCAAAAACACGATAAAATATGAGTTTTAGTCTATTGGTTTGACCAAAGATATTCGCTTTCTTGAATAATCATATAATCATTTCATGAATACATATACAGTATATTATTGTTATTATTAAATTATATTTATGACATCTATAAATGGAATAGGTTTCATTCATTTGAAATGCACCAGTTTTTTTTATTACAGAAATTACAGTAATTTAATTTATTTTTTATACTGTACTATCAATAAATTGTATTTCATTTTATTGGTCAAAATATTTAATAATTGATTACACGTTATATTTTGTATTAACGTATTGTGTATTTGATACACAGTATCATCATCATTTTTTTTTCTTTCACTTTCGAATATTAATTTTATTGTTTATTTTTTGTCATAAAATTTCCCTATCAGGCAATGTCGCTAGTTAAGTATTTAAGCCACATCGAACAACAAAAATCTCTGGTACAACAAACACAAGGTATTAGAATTGACAGATTCGGTTAACAAAAAAAAAAAGAACTAGAGGGATTAAAATCGGGACCATTTTTCTAAGAATTTTAGGTAACACCATTTTTCACATTTCTTTCAGTTGCCGTTTGGATTTTCTTTTGTTTGTGTATATGGTAACTTATTGCATTTTCCTCAATGGTCATAGGAATTTTTTTCTTACCATATTGATTATTATTCACGTGATTTAAGATTGCACAATAGAAATCATGCGCCTGCATAATGACTCATAATTTGTTAGATGACAACATTAATAATAGATTTTAACCAAATAATTATTTTTTTCCGTTATTTTGGGCATTATTGAAATCAACCTCCATAATTCATTGTTTCCTGATTTTTTGGGGATTCCCAGTAAGGTTTAATTAATAATAAAATGCAATCGTGGACGCAAGGAAATGCAACAATGGACACAAGGAAATGCAATCACAGACACAAGGAAATGCAATCACAGACGCAAGGAAATGCAATCACAGACGCAAGAATATGCAGCGATAATTCTTGAAAATAATCATAAATCTAATGCACGGTGAATCTAATATACTTATGTACTAATTTAGACCTTCGAGAAGAGGTCCACATTCGAAAGTTTATACGGACTGTCATATAACAAAGAATGGACTTTCTGGTTGATTTAATAAAAAATGTCGGCATGCACCGAAAGATGACTTCTTTGTATTCCTTATAAAAAAAAACCACGATATATTTAGTAATGTTATTATTTATTCCTAAAATCTTTTTACTTTATCTAGGACTTTCCTAGAATTGTTTTTTTTTCTCATTCACGCATTTTCTTCTACCACGGATTTTCAATTCCCTTACGAAAATCAGCTAATGTGACCTTCAGATGTTTAATATAGGCTATTCATGAATTAAAGTAATATTAGACATGCCGTATAAGCGTTTTATATTATGAACATTATTTACACCTAGGCAATGTATACTGTATATTAATACCAGAGGCTTTTAAGCTTATATCGTATATAATTTATTACCTGTTTTTTTATAATCGAAGACCAGGTGGTTCGCTTTAAGATATCAAGTCGCAAAAACTTTTTGTGTTATATTATATAACATATGTTTACCGTATGTACACAGTTACCTCATTACATAGTATAATTAATACATCAAATTTCGCAATACAGTAGCAATTTAATGTGTATCTTAATGTGTAGTCTCATGTAAAGTAGTACCCCAAAATCAGCCGGAAGTGGTTAGTGGTATTTCCAAGTCGGAAGTTTATTTGATAGGTTTTTTGATTATCGGATAAACCCGAAAATTTAATAAACAAACTACTGTTTTTATTATTGTTATTTACTGTATTACTTTTTTTTAGGTCTATTGAAGTATTCGACTTGCGCGGTTTTCTTGGTACTGTAATGTGGCGATACCTAGTTATGTGATACCAATGCGATAAATAGATCTGTGTCATCGATTTTTTTTACCATTTTTCTATGACATACTGTAAGTATTTTGGATTGTAGATCTTGAATAAATATTGGTGCTATAGAAGCAGAATTGGAAGTGTTTTTTTGGTATTGAATTTGTGTTTGATTATTGAGTCTATTTTTCTTTGGATTGTTCTGGTCATGTTTTCTATAAGAAATGTGATTTGTAATTGGAATTCTATGCAGGAAATAAGTACTTTGTTATATACTGTATGTAAGAGGTTATTGGGTCAATAATATATTTAAATTTAAGTACTTTAGTGATTGTAACTGTGTCATTTAAGATTTTGTCCTGGTTGGGTGTTGGTATTGATTTTTCTAAGATCCAGATACCTAAAATACAAATGGATTTATTTTTGAAAGATAAAAGAATAGTCGAGTTATTTTGTTCTATTGTTTTGTTAGATAAATAATAATTAATTTGTTTTAGAGACATTTGTTTGTATGTCATTGATTTAAAAAAATTTTGATTGCTATATTTAAATTGTTTCATAGTTTCTCTTTGGATATTGCTAGGATATTTAAATCATTCATGTTGTTATGGGTAAAACCGGCACAGACATGTAATGCGATATCACGTTACGTCATCCTGTTTTCATGGATTATGGAGAAATTAAGGTGGGAAAATTGATGTGGGAAAGTTTAGTGGCGGGAATTTCTAGAGTAGAGTAGAATAGTAAACAGATGTAAACATGTAAATAATAGGCGCATGTATAAATACATGCGCATGTAAATAATTAAAGTTTAGTTTAGAGTTAGTAGTGCCTAAAGAATAAACAATAAATATTTGACGGATAAACTCTTAACTTGTGTTTAGTGTGCCAAAGTAAGACTTGTAACTTGGGCTACACGACTACAAAAGAGAATCGAGGTTTTCCTAAGGGAATTGGCATTGGAAGGGTTCTAGGCTAGTTGGTAGAGAAATTAAAGTGAGAGAATGCCCAAATCGGAAACACGTCTTAAGAGTTAGAAACTTACCTTATTGTGAACCGGAAGCAGTAACGACCAGTAGTGTGGGCTTGCCGGAGAACCCACGACATTTGGTAGTGAATAGTGTTCCGAATGGGTCAGTTCAGGTCGGGTTCGGGTTTGACCCGATATGACCCATTTGATAATTTTCGGGTTTGGATCAGGTCGATCATCAACCCGAACCTAACCTGAAGATCATCGGGTCAGGTTCAGGTCAGATTCGGGTTATATGTGATAAAATTTGATTGGTTGTCAATCAATTTTTTTCGCAAACATTTATTTCCTAATTATCTACACTATTTTTTTCCCATTCATAATTTTCATAATTTCGTTTATTGTTAATTAAATTACACATGCATTCAAATAATTCAAAAAGTGTCAGTGCGGCTGGTCTATAATTCAAAACTTTGAAGAGCAAAGTAATCTTGTACATGAAGTAAGATCACTTCCCGATCAAATTCTTGATTATTTAGAATATATACAGTATATATATATATTGCAATTTAGAAATATAATTTTTTTTCAATTTAAAAAAAATAAAAAATAATTTTTTTATCTAATTTTAAATATTTTTTTTTTATTGTTGAAAAATTATACTGTATTATTATAAAAATTTTTTATTATAATAAAATGAAGCAATGGATTTTCGACTAATTAAAAAGCATCAGAAAATAATTAAATTCTTGGTGGCGCAATACTTCAAAATAATTAAATTGTATTTACATGACTATTTTTGCTTGTATGCTAATATCCTTTTCCTGCTTATCTAATCCCCCCTATTATTAATCGCTTCCCAGTTTATTTTTCCTACAGATATCTTTGACATCATAATTAGTTCTTAATTACGATTAAACAATTTATTAAATTTTACATTTGTTAGTAAAAAATTTATTTAAGTATGAATTAAATTTTATATCAATTTACCATATAGAAGCCTCTTCTTTCTCAAGTCGAATAGCCCAAGAAAAACACAACTCCGATACTACTGGGTCTTCAGGAATAAATCACAGCTTTGTGAGTGCAATAGCCTCACTGTATAAATAAAAATTGATAAATTGGGTTTTCGCTTAATCGTGAATTTGAATCTTTCACTTATCGATACATCTCAGCTTTATGTAGATGTCGATAACCTGATATATCTCCCCACATGCTAACCAACGCTTGCAGGCATGCCATACATCTCGTCCGGCTAAATATTATTTTTTTAATATTATAAACGAGTATAAAATAATTTGGTTAATCAAAGCCATCTGCGTACCTAAGGGACTAAGTGCAAAAAGTATCCAATCTTGTGTTTTCTTCACAGAATCTAACTAAACTAGAAAAATTATTTGACCATAATTCCAGTGGCAAACTTGGATTAACTTCTAGGCCACCCAAACCAATAGACTGCTCTGAGGAATTGTGCGATAAAACTTCAAAATATATATCAAAAAATAAATATAATGAGAAAAATTTTATATAAAATACAAGTGATAAAAGGAGAATATTGTGAATCACCTTTTACAATTAATATTTCCTTCTCCAAAAAATAAATCTACGGACAATGGACTTTGTTGATCATTATCGTTCAAGCTCTCTTCGTCAGCCCAAAATTCCAATGCTTTTACTAAATCACCTCAATCATAACCTTTTTGCAAGATCGAAATGCAATATTGAAGGTTCTTATGTCGAACAGGTGTTGTACTCAATGGCAATAAATTTTTTAATTTCTTGTTCTTCTTTGATGTACGAATATCTACCCTACGATTGGG